CAATTCATATGCGAATATAGGATATCAATGGACTTATGGGCGGCGCTACTGATTCGAGTTGACAGGTAGTTGACCAGAAATGATACGCCAAACATTGTGGTGAATAGAAAGGCCGCCACAATTCGGAACACCATTTGTTTGGTCCCCTTCGCGAACGTTAAATACAATAGTATTTCATCGGCAGGCGTTGCGAAATAGTAGACCGCAAACAGGAAGTATTTGTAATGCAAGTTAAACTTATAGGTCATTATAGCGACAACGTTATGCTGATTAATCGCTCTCATTAACAATGCATTGTTTCGAAGTTTAATAGCCATACGAATGTCCATGTTGATTTCGGTGAATTTGTATTTTAGATAAGAAGCGGTCATGTACATACCGAAATAATATAGAATAGCTATGCCAAACAATTGTAACAACATGGCTGTTTGACCTACGCCCCAAAACACCACACCTATTATATATTGGTAAAGAAAAGTTCATTACTATAGTCGAGCCTTTGCGGATTGTATGTAATCTAAAGCCTTTATCTTATATATATATATAATATATACTGTGTATTCGCCAAAACTGAAATGTTCGTATCATTTATTTATCGCGGATTATCAAAATGGTTTGGCCGATAACACCGAACCATTGCAAATAATTTTGAAGTTAGAAATTATTAATAAATGATCTGAACTTCTCAGTTTTGACGAATACACAATGTATTGTATATAAAATAAAGACTCTTGATTGCATACAATCAGCAAAGGCTCGACAATAGCAATTATAGTTGGACTACACCGTGCAGAATAAGCCTTAACAGACAGCATGTACTGTATTGTATACAATGTTATTCTATGGGATAGTGCTATGATTACAGCTCGAAATGTATTCTCTTAAGGATTATTCAACAAATAGCTGTCCAGTTGTTATAGTTATATTTAAAAATTTAATTAATTACTTAAATCAAAAATATCTATGTCGTAGATAATATGATATACGCAAATTGAGCGCCCATATATTATATGTAACAATACGTTATTGTATTAAGCATAAAAAATATAGTGGCGCTCCCTTGCCATTAGTCTTACCAAACAAAGTAAACCCGGAGTCGGGATCCAAATAAGCCATAGCCGACGCCCAATACATCGCACCATTTGACTCCAATACTGTCAACCAAAACATTTGCCGCAAAATATATTTGACAAACAAATTTTGTTTTATCGAAAACTTTCGGTAATTACGTCGACTCAACGGTGGCGACACCTGATGGCGACGGATATCGACCACAAAATTACAAAAATACATTTGATGCCTATTTTGAACCCATTGTGTGATTGTACCAATGTATAATATGCCCAGCGCCGCCATACTACACATAATGGACATGAGTCTCGGGTGACTTATTAAATAGTTTGCATTGCAAAATATGGCCCTCGCATATGCGTGTTAATAATGGCTGAGATGCCATACCTGACCCCTACTATTAGGAGTAGCCCGCGGGCCAGTAGTTGTCGCGATTGATAGCGCGATATATAATCTCCATTCGCGTAGTCCTCCAATGTTACGGCTAATGTGCAATACCTATTGACAAATGTGTCGATTATTTCAAATGAGTTAATAAAATCATGGTCGTTTTTGGCAACAAAATGTTTATAAAGTTTATTTCGCACATAATTAATAATTGATTGCATTGTAAAGTTAGTTTTACTTGAGCATAATAATTAATATGAGTATGTTTAATGATTAGCAAAATATTGGATCCGGAAAAAAGTTTCCGCAATGCCTTTGCTTTAGTAAAAATTTGATTATTTCTTAACTAGAACATTTACTTTTAATCGATTTAAACCCAACTATGGTTTTAAGCATTACATGTTCTCCCGAAGAGACAGCTTAATTCGAACACCG